AATAAAATAAAAGCGCGCGCGTAGCGCGCGCCTGTGTTGTTCTAGTCTATAATAAAAAAATCCATGGAGACGCGAGAAGTTGTTGTTTGGAGTCGAATATCTCGCACGTAGTGTTGCCGCTTTTCCGCGTGCGTGATTGGCCGGTCGAAGCCGGGTGATCGAGATCGCGGCGAGTTCCGCGAATTTCGTGCGTGTGCGTCGTGTGATGTGACCGATGTGACAGCTCGTGTGTGTGGTGTCGCGAGGTTAGTGGGGTTAATATTTTCTCTATGCATATAGATAAAATATCAAATATGCTCAGCAAAGTCCAACCCTACGGCCGTGCATCGTAAACCACGTGCTGAGCGGGCAACATTTTTTATAAATGGCTAACGGGGCAATGGCAAACCCACTTGGAATGGACAAATATCTGGAGGTAAGTAAACATAACCTGTTTCGGTTGCTCGCTATACTCATATTATTAAACGGAGTTGTGATAGATATTTTAATTCAAGGATTATACAATAACGACTATCCAAGTTGGAGTGGCGTGTCTATAGCATTAATCAGGAGGGACGTGCAGCTGTGGACATCTAAAAGTTACTGACACTGTACAGGTAAAGAAAGAGATACATGTTGACATGTATGCATGTATACATATACGCGCGCGCGTGTGTGTGTGTGTGTGTGGTGTGTGTGTGTAAATTTGCAATGGTTGATTAATGGTAATTAAAATAACTAGATATAGATATGTCGCTGCTTTTACAGTGAATGACATACATCCCAGTTGTATCAATAATAAAATTGTGAAAGAAGGCAGATGTACAAATGGTCCCTGTTTTCACGCCGATCAAATAGACGAATTGAGAATTGCACACAGCCTGGAACTTATGATTTTTTCTCAAACAGCGGCATATCCGTCATCTTTACATTCTTAGGTGTATCAACGTTGTTTTGTGGTAAAAATCCTGTTACTCCTGTTACTTCCATGCAAGGCTCTTGTGAAGATGTCACATCACTTAATCCTAATACTAATTTTGACGCAGGTTTTATTACGTTATTAATCGGTTTTAAAATATAATTCAAAGATAAGAAATCAGCGAAAGAAAATGTTACGTATAGAAAAGTAGACCATAGTGATAAGTTTTCAACAAGCACGTATGTCATAGTCATATCTCACACGTGTATTAACGAAGATATTGTTTGAACAGCTAGCGAATGGCAGGAGCCAAGAGCTTCTCTGAGATACGTAATATTAGTGCCAAACGTAAGAAAGAACCAACTGGAGGTGAAAAATCAATTGGGGCACCTGATACGCGCAGTGGATTTTCCATCTAATAGCAGGGTCATGGTATCTTTCCTTTCTTTCCTTTTCTTTCAATGATACATCAATCAGACAATAATTATAAATGCCATCTTCTTCTTTCCTCCTACAGATTTACTGTGCATCTGATAGTTATTATATGTTGATTTGCGTACATCACAGTTACGATTTAGTGCTAAAGTTCGATTCTGACTTTTTGAGAAGCGCATTTATAAAAGCATTTGAAAAATTTATATCAGAAATCTCAACGTCCAGGGATGCACACTTAGTGCAAATGATAACTAATACCACGCATGCGGCACTACTTAAGCAAGCGATAATCAAGAAGCACCGTCAAAAAAAATTAGAAATGTTTTTCTGTGTTGTATTTGCGCAGGTATATATCACTTTTCTCTTTTTTTCTTTGTTGATTGTTGAAATAAAGAAATAAGACAAAAAATATATTTAAATAAAATATCTTATTTAACTAGAACTTTTGTCGAGACTCGTAATACATGTCCGCGAAATGTCTTCAGGTATTCCATATCGCGCATACGGAAGAAGTTTGCAGATATTTCATTTAGTGGACAAGGATAGAAACGACTTCATATCGTTTCGGGAGTTTGTTAATATGTTGGTGATATTTCTGAAGGGTTCTGCTGAGGAGAAGATGAAGTTGATGTTTGACATGTACGACATCAATGGTACGGGAAGACTGAAGGGAGAAGAGTTCTCAAATATGTTAAGGTTGTACACCTTATCAATCGTCTAATTCTAAATAACACTTTCATCTGCTGCATCTGCTGCATACGTGCTACTGATATTACAGTAGTACCTACGTTATTGTTGAACATATATACATGTACGTAGATCATTTATGGAGATCGTCAACGCTGACGTCACGGACGATGAGCTGGAAGCTTTGGTGCAATCCATGATGTATCACGCTGACTTGGCGAATAAAGAGACGATAAATTTACAAGACTTTCAGTAGATACTAAGTGACTTTAATGATAAATTTAATTACGCGGAATTGGATTTCAATGTGCCTATGGACGGGAAAAGCAACAGGAAACTTCACGCGGGCGTGAAGACAGTTAGATCGACGTTTATTGGCGAGGTACAAAAGACGGTGGAGAATCTGTATGCTGATCCAAGCGAATTGCAATCCAGAGGCAAAGTTAAAAGCGTTGAACGAGATGCGAAGGAAGAGAAAAGTAATAGCGAAATTATCGACAAGGACGAAAAAATTGTCGAAGAAATGAAGAGACACTCGGACGATTATTGGTATCCTATAATGAAGTACCTTGCTAATAAACGACTGCAGATATTCTGGGCATGTTTATACACTTTGTTCCTGCTTGGGAGTTTTACGGAACGAGTATATTGTACGTTCTTCAAGTCAATCCACAATGAATCTCTAACTTGAATTTTTTATCGCGCTTCGCGCGATGGTAAACGATCCGCTTTTATTTACAGAAACGAGAGGTGCAGTGTCAGCTATGATGTTTACTTATTCTACGTTATCATGATGATGGCGAAAATGACTTGTTCAATTCTAACATTCTTCTCAACTTTAGGATTCGATATCGAGTTTTTTTTCTACATTTTGCAAAAACACATGGCGATTGATGCAATATATAACAAAACAGCTGTCATTTTATCTGAATATTTGTATAGCAGCCAAAAAACTGAGATATCTCCCAACTTGCTTGTTTCAGATACATTTGTATTGATTGTAATTTGTGCATAATTTAAGAATAAAACATTTCTATACATAAACGCAATTGGTACGATAAACCTTTTCTTTAATATAAATAATGTGATACATTTTACTTTTTTGTAAAATTGTAAGAATAGTATCTCTTCCCTCCCCCTCTCTCCCTCTGCCTCCCTCGCTCACTTAATAATTACACAAGCGGGAGTATACTCAAGTAGTTAAATTGAATTATTTCAATTAAACTTGTTTAATTTTACATTTTATTTCATTAAATCTAATTAATTTAATAAATATAATTTGCATGTTAGTAAAAGAGTGTTATTAATTAAAGAAAACATTTGTAAAACATTTGTAATGATCTTTCTTCGTTCAGGAAAAACATTGAACGCGATTATTTTTGCACGTATATATATATATATATATATATATATATATATATTCTAAAAAACGCAGGTTATTGTGATGAGTAATGACAAACATAGTTATAATCACAGGCTGTACGGACAATAGTTTTCCTTTGGTGACAAATTCTGATACATTGAAGGGAATAATCACTTAAGTAAGTCACTAAATATTTGACACATTAATGCATATATTGTTATAGGCAAATCCAAGTCAATCTTTTTTAATATTTGAGCATTTTCATTAAACGTTTACATAGATATTATATGCTTAGAAGATTATTTTATGTATTTTTTCGAAAATTTATGTACTAGCGTCGCTGATGCCTGATCCACTAAAGTTGATTTGTTTTGGAAACTTACTCTTCGTCTCTCTCTAAGAGAGATAATTAAAAAGAAACGAAGAGTGAAGATTCCGAAATGCATTAACTTTAGTGGATCAGTCATTAGTGACGCTGAATGTACAGCATAAGCTTATTAAGTGGATAACTAATGTTTCTTTCAGGCGAATTGGAATAAAGCGTATAAACAATAAAGTTTATTTTAACATTGCTAAAAAATAGATGCGAGTGATCAAATTAGAACTACAGTGTTTGTAGAAATTCAGGGCTATGTATGTGTGTGCTTTATAGTGTTCTACTTACATATTAACTACAATGTATTAATACGTAATTAATTAATTTTTAATTGACTCTTAATTTAATTGTATAAAAACAAGTGATATGTCACATCTTATTCTTTCATTTATGAATTCAATACTGTTCGACGACGTAAACTTTTCATCTTTGCATTTAATTCAAATGTATTATTAGGTATATATATACGTGAATAAATTTAAATATTATTATAAAATTGTATCTTCTTTATTGATTCATTCCTTTCTATTTTCTTCTCTTTTTTTTCTTTTTTTACACACACACACACACACATACACACACATGTGTATGTATGTATATGTATTTATGTATATGTAATTATGTTATGTGTATTTATGTTATTCATATGGAAGCACTCACAAATCTTACAACCACTCGGGCCAGTTTCTTTAAATTGTAGTTTAAAAAATAATGTACTTTGTTCATATAATCAGGCTTGTTTCACATTTAGCATTAAATGTGATGACTATTTCATTCTGAATGCTATATATTTATCTATATTAAATGTAAAAAAGTTGTATTCAGCGCTATCACAGACTGATAACCACATTGCCGCATTTAACGCTAAATGTGTATTATGTATATGGATTTAGCTTAATGTACATGTGCATCGTAAACAGTACACTGGATGCATAAAGGTGCCTTTTCATGCTGACGCTCGACGCTCATTTTCAGCGGCAAGAAGGTCGCATGACCACAATTGACGCCGGCGTCAATTGAAATTCATGAAAAGGGAAACAGCGTCAAAATTTCGGCGTCTTCGCGCTGCTTTGGCTTTAACGCTTGAAGTTGGAAAAATCCAACTTCTCTTTCTTGACGCTGGCATCATAGTGATGTCACGTGACGACGCTCAACGCTGTTTTTCAGCGTCCCATGAATTGGCACCTTAAGTCAGTTATAACCTAGAAATAGTGACAATCAGCGTGATAAATAGTGAAATATATAAGTATTGACGGCAGAGAGCTGATACTGAGGAGATCAAGGAGCTGTTCATACGAGGCGTTTCTGGCGCGCGGTTGCCGCGCGTAAACATTTGCATGAGCCGCGTGCTGTCGCGATTCGAGGTATCATTTATCATGTAATATAATATTTACGTTTTAAATGAATTGATTCCGTCCGCTCGAGACTGTTTGTCTCGATTCTGATCAACTTGTTTTTAGTCATATCTGATAAGTGAGTTAATGGGTAATACGAGATGCAAGTAAAAATATTATAACTGCCTACATGTATCAAAATCTAACGATTGACCATACGTCCTTTAGAATTTAGAGATACTTTGGACGGCAGTGAAGATCGATCGCGTACGAGATTTACCGCCAAGAGGTGGTCATCAGGGAGATGTCGGTAATTCAGGATATACACAATAAGTGGCAGACAAGGTCGTCCTCCAACCTAGCATAGAGATCGTAGAGACGAACGTTGTTGTACTACCAATGACAAAGACACTGTTTTAAACAGCCAAGACGTTTCAAGCATTGATAAAGGTAATAATAATAATACTTATTGGTCGCGCGCGTGCGTGCATACGTGCGTGCGTGCGTGCGTGCGCGTGTATTATCCGATCGCTAATATTATACAGTAGCTTTCTGTTTCTTTTTTCGCTCTTCCCTTTCTCCCTCTCATTTTTAAGAAGATAAATCTTGATAATTATTTTTTATTTTTACTGTGTATGATGATTTAAAGTCTCAATGTAACAGAATTCAAAAAGTTAGTATCTAAATAAAGAAAGAAGATAAATCTTGCTAATTATTTTTTCTTTTTACTGTGTTATGATATGATGACGTGATTATTATTGTATCATAAATAAAACGTAATTCCAGAATTTTTTGTTATTTTGTCTTATAAAATAAACGTTAGAATACGCGTGTAAATGGATGGATGTGTGGGTGTGGATGGGGGTGTATTTATATACATGTGATTGTAGATATGGGTATGAGGGAGAGAATGCGTGTGTATGTATGTATGTGTAC